CACGGTTATGGGGTAGGCACGGCCATTGATGTGGTGCGTGGCGTACAGCTGCGTCTTGTTGGCCCCGGGGAAGTCAAAGCTCACCCCGCTGTGGTTGCCCTCCCCTGCCATCGTGCTCAGCTGGGGGAAACGGGGAAAGGGGGAGGGAGAAATGCAGGGGGAGAGGCGGCAGGGGTAACGTGAGTCGGGAGGTGCAGCAGAGGAAGCACGGGGAAGGAGGGATCGATTGAAAATGGTGAAAGGTTGTGGTGGGTTGGTCGAGGAGAGAGAGGGACTGGGGTGCGGAAATGGGTGGTATGGTGGGGGCAGGATAAGGAGGGGCAACGAAAGAGATACATGGGAGAAGCGGGGCCGACAAGGGAGGAGAGGGGCAAGGGAGGGCAGGGAGGGGGAACGCACGAAGAAGGAGAAGAGGAGGCCAGTGGTGTCGTTGGCAGGGCACGTCATGCGCGCTTGAAACACCCCCGATGAGTACTTGCTCAGGGACTGCCACCGCGACCCTGCCAGGGAGATGGCCGTGAAGATTCATGGATGGATGGATGAATGAATGAATGAATGAACACAGGGAAAGTCGGGGAGAGGCGGAGGGACGAGTAGGGAGGGAGGCACAAGCTATCACTGGCCTGGCCGCAATGGGCCGGCCCAGCACCATGCCTTTTACAAGAAATGCACGCACGCACACACATTGAACCACCAACCCCCATGGGATGCACAATGCACACGCACCTTTGGTGATGGTGGCGCTGCTGTTGCCACTATCCGACGTTATATTCACGGAGTTACCGCTGACCTTCACGTTGCGCGCCCCCATGGGCACCAGAATCGTGCTCAGCGCCTTGCCCGCGCTGAACAGCCCGTACCATGGGCCAGGGGGAGGGGGCGGTGGCGGGGGAGGGGAAGGCGGGGGCAGGGACGGCGGGGCGGTAGCAGCAGTGGTGGCAGCTGGCTTTCGCGTTGCCAGGGGGACTGGGGAAGGAAAGAGCGCGGATGGTGATTTAGTTGCAGGGGTTGGTGGGCTGTGGTGCTGTGGTGTGTGAGGGGCCGGCGGGGGCTTGTGGTGCTGCTGACTGCTGCATGAGGATCCCAGCAGCCCCCGCCCATGCACGTGTGACCCAACGGGTGGCTCATTCTCGTGCTTCACTCCCCCATCCCCCCCTCCCTCTGCATTCCCCGCTCCAGCCTTATCACCAGCCCCACCAGCACCAGCACGAGCATCGGCAGCGGCGGCGGCAGCAGCAGCGAGGGTGGCGGAGACAGCAGAGTGCATGTGGGCAACAGCGTCCCGGGCGCTCCTCATATGCTCGCGCGCCTCCTCCGCCGCCCATGCTTCCGCCTCCTCCTGTGCCTGCAGTGCTGCGCTCTCCTGCTCCTCCACCAGCAGCCGCTGCTCCGTGCTCTGTGCGCTAGCCCTGGGGACACAGCGGCATGGGGGGGCAGTGTGGCAACGCAACGCACCGTGGTGGGTTTCTGTGAGAGTGTGCGTGTTGGCATCTGGGTGAGTGAGAGTGATTGTGTGTGAGGGGGAGAGGGGGTGACATGTGGGAAGGGTTCCGTCCATCTGTGATGTGCGGCACATACGCGAGCTGACTTTTAAGTCGACTCAAAAGTCAGCTCTGTGACGTGCGGCACATACGCGAGCTGACTTTTTAATTCGACTCAAAAGTCAGCTCTGTGACGTGCGGCACATACGCGAGCTGACTTTTTAAGTCGACTCAAAAGTCAGCTCTGTGACGTGCGGCACATACGCGAGCTGACTTTTTAAGTCGACTCAAAAGTCAGCTCTGTGACGTGCGGCACATACGCGAGCTGACTTTTTAAGTCGACTCAAAAGTCAGCTCTGTGACGTGCGGCACATACGCGAGCTGACTTTTTAAGTCGACTCAAAAGTCAGCTCTGTGACGTGCGGCACATACGCGAGCTGACTTTTTAAGTCGACTCAAAAGTCAGCTCTGTGACGTGCGGCACATACGCGAGCTGACTTTTTAAGTCGACTCAAAAGTCAGCTCTGTGACGTGCGGCACATACGCGAGCTGACTTTTTAAGTCGACTCAAAAGTCAGCTCTGTGACGTGCGGCACATACGCGAGCTGACTTTTTAAGTCGACTCAAAAGTCAGCTCTGTGACGTGCGGCACATACGCGAGCTGACTTTTTAAGTCGACTCAAAAGTCAGCTCTGTGACGTGCGGCACATACGCGAGCTGACTTTTTAAGTCGACTCAAAAGTCAGCTCTGTGACGTGCGGCACATACGCGAGCTGACTTTTTAAGTCGACTCAAAAGTCAGCTCTGTGACGTGCGGCACATACGCGAGCTGACTTTTAAGTCGACTCAAAAGTCAGCTCTGTGACGTGCGGCACATACGCGAGCTGACTTTTTAAGTCGACTCAAAAGTCAGCTCTGTGACGTGCGGCACATACGCGAGCTGACTTTTTAAGTCGACTCAAAAGTCAGCTCTGTGACGTGCGGCACATACGCGAGCTGACTTTCTAAGTCGACTCAAAAGTCAGCTCTGTGACGTGCGGCACATACGCGAGCTGACTTTTTAAGTCGACTCAAAAGTCAGCTCTGTGACTTGCGGCACATACGCGAGCTGACTTTTTAAGTCGACTCAACAGTCAGCTCTGTGACGTGCGGCACATACGCGAGCTGACTTTTTAAGTCGACTCAAAAGTCAGCTCTGTGACGTGCGGCACATACGCGAGCTGACTTTTTAAGTCGACTCAAAAGTCAGCTCTGTGACGTGCGGCACATACGCGAGCTGACTTTTTAAGTCGACTCAAAAGTCAGCTCTGTGACGTGCGGCACATACGCGAGCTGACTTTTTAAGTCGACTCAAAAGTCAGCTCTGTGACGTGCGGCACATACGCGAGCTGACTTTTTGAGTCGACTCAAAAGTCAGCTCTGTGACGTGCGGCACATACGCGAGCTGACTTTTTAAGTCGACTCAAAAGTCAGCTCTGTGACGTGCGGCACATACGCGAGCTGACTTTTTAAGTCGACTCAACAGTCAGCTCTGTGACGTGCGGCACATACGCGAGCTGACTTTTTAAGTCGACTCAAAAGTCAGCTCTGTGACGTGCGGCACATACGCGAGCTGACTTTTTAAGTCGACTCAAAAGTCAGTTCGAGGTTGCGTTAAAACCGGGGTGCACATTCAGCTGAATGTGCATCAAAGGTTATCCCTTGACTGAGTGGGTTACGAGGTGTGCTTTCAACCCCTTCAAGTCGAAATTCGTTTCCCCCCTCCCCCGCAATTTCGTTTCCCCACGCCCCCGCAATTTCATTTCCCCCTCCCCGTCGAAATTCGTTTCCCCCCTCCCCCGCAATTTTGTTTCCCCCCTCCCCCGCAATTTCGTTTCCCCCCCCTCCCGCCAATCTGTTTCATCCCTCCCGCCATTCGGTTTCACCCACTCCCGCCATTTCACCCCCTCCCGCCACCTACGAAATGCCCGAAGCTCTAGCGGAATCATTTTTTTGTCGCCCCTCGTGAGCCAATCACTGTTTTTCTCCAAACCCCCTTCCCAACATCTCAAGCCGAACCGCGTTGAATGTGCACCCTGGTTTTAAGAGCACTGAAGCACGGACATGCGATACGAGCAAGTTCAGGATCACCGCAAGCGCAACGGATATAAATGGGCCAGCAGGATTCACGCGGGGTAGTATGCTGCTTGGCTGGCGTGGCGAGGGGAGGCGAGGAGCGGATGTTCTCGTTCGTGGTTTTGATCAACGGTGGCGTGAGGCACGCAGGCAGAGCAAGGAGTGCCAGCCGCGTCGGTAGTCGGCGGCAGAAGCTGAGGACGCGTCACCTGAACGCCGATCCTGCGATCGATCGTCGAAAATCGAGGGTGGCGTTGTGTTGTTGTGACTAAGATGGGTACAGTAAGAGCCGAGCAATGCGGGTCGGGTCAGCATTTGGGGGAGGTCACGGGTGGGGGATGTTGGAAAATAGCCCCACTCCAGCCAGATGGGAGGACGAGGCAGGTGGGGCGAGTTGGAGCGGGCAGGGAAAGGAATGGAACGGAAAGGTGGAGCGCCGAATGCTGGCTGGGTTGGTTGGGGCTTGGAGGAGAGTGCGTCGGCGAGTGGGTGGTTGGGTGGGAGGCGAGGGTGGGTAGTGCTTGGTGACGGTGGAGCTGGAAGAATATTTTGCCCCAGCAGGGTGGATGGTGGATAGGAGAGAAGCGAAATGAACCAGAAGAGCGGAACTTCATCGCTGTGGTCACCAAATCGGCGCCACTGGCGCTGCCCGTGAAAACATGGTGTGGTGCGCATTCATCTCCCGTTTCACCTGCGGCTCTCCGTGTCGCAAGCGATCGCACAAACACACCACAAATATTGGAGCCCACTGGCTGCGACACAGGCGATGTGAGATAAAGCTGTTTTTGCCTGGAAAGTAACTATGCTTCAGGTCACCTGTGCTTCTGGCCAGACTGTTTCGCAGGTGGTCGTTTGTCGCACGAATTCTCTCCCTTGGTCGGTTGATCGAGACGCGCTTTTGTTGACGGCCCGTGACGCGATCCGACGCCTTCAACACACGCTGAGGCGATGGCAAATTTGCAAGGGGATCAAGACATCGTAGTGTACCTAATTGCTAAACTCCTATTACAATTTAATATTTCGATTACAGGAGTTCTTACAAGAGCCTTGCTCTGCTGGTGATACACAGAAGTATAGAAGTATCGAAAATGCATCATCCAGCATAGTCGCCATCATATACAGTGCCTCTTCCCACCTTCCAAAATCCAAAGGAGCACTCATCCATCCATCCCTCCAACGTCCTCTCGCGAACAGGAGCCTAGTCACTCGCCAAGACCCAGCCCCAGCTGCATCGTCTATTTCACCCAACCATCCATCCCTTTACCCCCAACATGCCATCCCAGAAAGTGTCAGTTGTTTCCCTCAATGTATCCACCATCCCACGTGGGAACAAGACAGCCGCTAGGAGCATGATACAAGGCAGCAAGGCATGCCATACATAGCAATTGCAGCCAAACGCAGAGTCTACGCACCCACTGACGCCAACGGCCGAGTCTGAAAGTCTAGGCCCTTTCGGTGCGGAGGACCCGCCACTAGATTCACCTGCACACACAGCAAAGAGAAGCAGGGAAGAGATGGGAGAACAAGGACATGTATGAGCAAAGAATGTGCGCGCTGGCCGACCGAGGAGCATATGGCATGCATACAGAAGCAGGGCAAGGGGCGCAAGGGCAGGGGCGCACCTTGACAATGTCTGAGGGGGAGTTGGGCTGGCTGTAGGCCACGAGCACCGACAGATGGAAGTCCTGCGTGCAGCAACAAGGGGGGGAGTGAAGCGCAATGAATGGAAGTGCTGTGATTGCAAACGTTCTCACAGAAGATTGACCAGGGCAGTGCAGGCGAGACCAGTGATTCACCACACTAAGGGTAGAAGCAAGGCTTCAGAAAGGTGGAGGGTGACATGGGTGAGTAGTAGGGCGTGTGCTGTGTTGGAGCAGGATGGTTTGTTGAAATGAGGGAGTGTGACATGTGGCAGCTAATGCAGAGCAGATTGCAGGGGGTAAAGGGTCACAGGGGCATGGGAGTAAGAGTCGTACCCTGAAGGGGTCTCCTCGCAGAGATTGCACGTAGAGGGAGCTCTTGCCGCCCTTGCCCTGACACACATAAGCGACAAGGGGCAACGGCAGAAGCGGAAACGGATTGGGGATGGCGATGAGAGAGGTGCGGAAGAGTGGGGTGATGGAAGAGTGCAAACACTTGTGATGCACCCAAGTGTAGCCTGCCACACCAGACCAGCACAATCCACCAGCACAACCAGCATACGCAACCCCATTATCCCCACAGCACACCCCCGTTCCCAGCCCCAGCCCCCCTCACCTCCAGGGGGATGTCGCGGAGGCGGCGACCGGTTTTAGCGCAGCAGATGCGCACCACGTTCTCCTCGCAGCTGCCTGATACAATGTAGTCACGCCCGTTCATGTAGTAGGACCGCGTGTAGTTGTGCGCACTGCCCAGCGCCGCTATCTCAAACCGCTGCTGCAGCCGACCATCCACTGCTATGTGCTGCCGCACCTGGTAAGAGAATGAAGGAGTTGGAGGGAGGGGAAGGGAGGGAGGGTGAGGGACAGTTGGGGAGAGTGTGCAGCGAAAGAAAGTCCGGGCTGATATTAAGGGGCTTTGTATTAACAGAACAGGGCAAACTGTCATCCATTGTCATGTCCATGCGCGCCGCTCACCTCATTGTCAACAGCAGAGGACAGCAGGAACTGATCATCAGGGCTGAAGCACACCATCACATTGCCACGGTCACTGCGCACAGAGTAAATCGGCCGCACGCTCTCCCGCCCCTGCGCAAACAGCCCCCCGAACCCGCCCCCAGACGAGGACGAGATGCGCTGACGCGCGTCCCAGAGCTTGACGTGGCGGTCGAAGGAGGAGGTGGCGAAGACGTGCGGCGAGTGGTGGGCAAACTTGAGCACGTTGATGTGCTCGCGGTGCAGGTTGTGCAGCGTGTGCAGCCGCCGCCCCGTGTGCAGGTCGTACAGCCCCACGTGGTTCGAGTACCTGGCAACCAGGGAGGAAAGTGAGAAATGGAGACACGGAGGGGGCGGGGGGTTTGATGGTGAGGCGGGGAGGAGTAGGGATGGAGTGGGAGGGATGGTCTTGCAAACGAAGCTTGGGAATGTGTACGCTTACCAAGGCAGTAACAAGGAAGGGGAGAGGGAGGGTACGGGAAGCGTGGCAGCATCACAGTATAGAAACACATACCCGCTGGCGAGGAAGAGGTCATCAGTGCAGTTGACATGCACGGACGTGAGCTGCTCAAACTCATCATATGTGTGGATGGCAGGGTGCCGCAACCGTCCAGGAGTCACAGGAGAGCTTCCACTTGCAGAACCACCAAGACCAAGCGGACTGTCTGACACCAGACCTCCTGTGCGTCCTGCACCAGCTGCTGGCGCTGCCAGCACAGCCGGAGGGGTGGTCAAGTCCGCCGGTGCTACTGCCGCTGCTGCTGCTGCTGCTGCTGCTGCTGCTGCTGTGGTGGCACCTCGCCCGCCACTGCCAGTCAGTGCACTTGCACTGCCGCCACCCACGCTGCTGCCATCGCTGCTGCCTGTGCCGCTGCTGCTGGCGCCGCTGGTGCTGGCTGCGGCGGCAGCGGAGCGGCCGATGGCAGCGACGAGACAGGCGCGCATGCGCTCCACGTCGTACAGCTGGATGGACCCGTTGTCACACCCGCCTATTAGCTGCATCCCGCTCATACACATGGAGAGGAGAGGCACAGGGAGAGGAGACAGGCAGGTGGAAAGAGGAGTTGGAGGGAGGAGAGTGGGGTAGGGCGGGTGAGGGGCACGGAGGAGGGGAGAAGAATGAGTGAGAACTTAGCAGCGAAAACATGGCCACTTCCAAACCATTGCAAAGGCACGGAGCACAAAAACACAGCCAACAGCAGCAAGGCGAGCAGCAGGAGCAGCAGGGCGGGCAGGAGAGGGCGTACCCTGTTGGGATGTTTGTTGAGCCAGCAGAGGCCAAGAATGGAGTGTGGGGCACCAACGGACTGCACGTGGCCCACGAGGCGGTCTGACTCGTGGTTGAGTACCACCACATCCCCGTGCAGCGTGCCAAACACCATCAGATGCGCCTCCGTTGGATGGTACTCAAACTGCCGTGGCCGCAGGCTCGACGACCTGGTGGGAGCGACATGGGGCATGCGGGGAAGGCAGAGTGGGGAGGAAAGAGCGGTTGACGTGGGAGGTGCGCGGTGAATGGGAGGGGCAGATGATGAGGAGAATGGTTGGAACTGGAAGACGACTGAGAATGGGTAATGCAGATGGGTGAACATTTGTGAATAGTGTATATGTGCAAAGAGATTGCGAGACCAATCGATTCAACAAAGAGAAGACTTGCCAAGAATATCCACCATTTCATACGCATTCCAATTCTCCCTGTATGCGTCCCTCCCACCGTCCCGTCACCGCACCTCCCCTCAACGTGTGCCCATTTCACAGCTCACATCGTTCTGGGAGCGTCCAGCCCTGCGTTGCGCAGAGGGCAGGTCATGGGGCGGCTGGCGGGCCAGCTGCTACAGCCCACTCGGTTGGCTCCTAGAGCGCGCCTGTAGCCCTCCACACTACCGCCCTTGGCTCCGGCTGTAGCACGCCACAGACGTGCAGAGGCGGATTCTGGTAGAGCAGGGTGGAGGAACAGGGCGCAGAGAATGGGAAAGCACGTGAGGAGGATGGTTTTCAAGAAACGGTTCAAGAGGAGTCCGAGGGCAATACAAGAGGAGTCCGAGGGCAATACAAGAGGAGTCCGAGGGCAATACAAGAGGAGTCCGAGGGCAATACAAGAGGAGTCCGAGGGCAATACAAGAGGAGTCCGAGGGCAATACAAGAGGAGTCCGAGGGCAATACAAGAGGAGTCCCAAGAGCAGTTCAAGAGGGGTCAACTAACCTGGGTCCTGCTCCTCCACAGGTGCTTTGCCCTTCCCACAACACCGCGCATTGCCTCTCCCTGCACCACCGCCATCCTCGTCACCATCATCGCCATCACCATTTTCGTCACCCTCGCTATCATGCGACGAATACTCCATGTCGGTCTGCCCCACTCGTTGGCTGTCAGCACCATCCCCGCTCCCACTGCCCAATACGCCCGCGACCCTGTCTTGCTGCCGTTGCTGTCCCCCCACCAGCTCCTCCGTTGCTGCGCCTCCCGCAGGCCTGCCACTGCTGCCAGTCACGCAGTCAGAAGATGCTGTGTAAGACGCAATGACGGGTGTGGCGGCAGCAGAAGCAGCAACAGCAGCACCACCAGCAACAGCCCCACCACCAGCAACAGCAGTACCAGTTACAGCACCAACAGGAGGCAATTTTTCCTTGGAAACGCTTTGCTGGCTGGGAAGTGGGCGGGCAGCAACAGAGGCGAGTGCTCTGAGCGGGGCGCGGATCTCTCTGCGTCTCAGCAGGTGCACGACGTTACCAATGCTGCCCAGCCCGTACGGCAGCGGCTCAAAGCTGCTCTCGCACTCGCCCTCCGCCTGTGCGCGCTCGCCTTCCCTCACCGCCATGTTATCTAGAACGTCCAAATGCGGCAGGGACGACAGCACAAACGCACGGTAGTGCGGCACATGGCAGATGGGCGACGAGTGGTGCAGGAAATTGGACGCTGCGGCGTACGGGCCTTCCAAGGCATGGTAGTCACGGCGTGCAGCGCCACCATCACCGGCAGCGCTAGCACGAACAGCACGAGCAGCACGAGCAGCATCGGCGCGTTGATCGTTGGTAGCATTAGCACCAGTTTCCCTGCCCCGGAGACGCCTGGGTGCATCCCCCATAAGATAGCTTATCAAGTCCAGTTCTCGTGCCGTGAGCCCTCCAGCCATACCTCCTGCAGCCCCACCCAGACCTGCTGGGTCCGCGCTGGCAGTTGCTGCTGTCCCTGCTGTCTGTTCCCCTGCTCCGTGTGCCGCTGCTGTTAGCACCCCCCGTTGCTCGGCCAACAGACCCGTGCCTTGTGCGGCCCCTGTACCTGGCACAGCAGCAGCAGTGCGGACAGCAGGAATGGGCCGAAACAGAGGTTGATGCTGGTGAAGGCGACCGGGACGCATGCGCGGTGATGGGCCCAGAGGGACTGCTCTGGGGCCAAGACCCTCAGCTCCCGCGCCTGTTGCACCGCCATTATTCCCCGCGGTTGTTGCTTCTGCTGCGTCCTGCTGCTCTCCACCTCCCTGCCTCAGTCCCCTCGCTTCACGAGACAGAACCTGCTGCCATGGCATGCCCACGTGGCGAAACTCACCATCCCTGCGTTCTCTCTCTTCCTCGTCCTCGTCGCTCTCCTCCTCTTCCTCTGGACGCTCATCACTCGCATCCCCGTCAAACATCTCCTCCTCCTCCTCCTCCTCCTCCTCCTCCTCCTCCTCCTCCTCCTCCTCCTCCTCCTCCTCCTCCTCCTCCTCCTCCTCCTCCTCCTCCTCCTCACCCTGCGCGCCCCTCAAGTCCTCATCGCCAACCATACCGAGCTCTTCATCCCCCGGGCCACCGAACCCCATGCCTACTTGCTCAGCCAAGTCCAGCGCAGCATCTAGAGCGCCCTCCGCCTGCCCCTGCGCTTCCCACTCGCGCATGACCTCATCCATCTCCATACCCTCCCGCACCAAGTTCTCCAGGTTCCCCTCTTCCTCGCCCAACCACGCCCGTATTTCCACCACGTCCTCATCCCGTTGACCAACACCAGCACCAGCATCATCAGCACCACCATCACCAGCATTTGCTCTCGCCACCTCCCTCCGCGCGCCCTCGTCCGCGTCCGCGGCATCGCCAGCCAGCCCCGCTGCAAGCTCCGCGCACGCGGACGTGTCGCCGCGGCAGCACATGCACCGCTGAAAGCGGAGCTGCGTCAAGAGGGGGAGCTTGGCTAGCGCGGCGACAGTGGTCCAGAGGTTCGAGATGCCCGTGGCGCAGAGCGAGAGCGACGTGAGCGACGGCGCGTTGGAGAAGCAGCCGTCGGGGAGGCACGTGATGGCGGGGTTGTGGTCCAGCACGAGGGAGCGCAGGCGCGGGAACGCGCCCACGAAGTCGAGCTTGCGCACGCGGCAGAAGGAGAAGCACAGGCTGCGCGCGTTCAGCCCGCGCTGGAACAGATCTCTGCGGGGCGAGTGGGGAGGGTGGGCGGCGGAAGGAAGCAGTGGCTATTCAAGGGCTACACGCTGCGAGGGTCAAAGCTTCCAATGCGTCGAGACGCGTGGTGCTGCAGTTGCGAACGACAAACGTACGTGCGCGCAGGTTAAGGCTGGTGCGTCGCACCTGAAGGCCTCGCGGCCGAGCGGGATGTTGGAGAGGTTGGCGTGCTGCAGGTGCGGTCCCACGGCGCGCAGCAGGAAGAGAATGCCGTGGCCGCTCACGGTGGGTACCGCGTCTGCGCTGCTGACGTCCACGATATGCAGCTCTGGACACGCCGTCGCCAGGAACTCGCCCAGCGTCACCGCGACCGCGTCCGACAGGTGCGCGAGAGGCAGCTCTACCGCTAACTGCGGCGACCCGTCCTCAGATATGCGGTGCGAGGGCTGGACGGTAGGCGGAATGGTGAGACGGGAATCAGGGAGGAGTTCACGGAACCACGATTGAGAAGGGGGTGGTTAAGAATGGGGAATGTGGCAGGAAGGAAGCCAGTTGGAGAGAATCAGGATGAGGCGATGAATAGGCGGGGTAAGTGGGACTTACTGACGCCAGAGCGCTGAGGATGTCGGGCGGTGGGCTGATACCGAACGATGAGCAGGATTGCGCGTATCTGCGGATGCATGACAGGGCATGAGTCAGTTTGAAGAAAGCACGCACACACGAGGACGTGTGCAGGCATGCGGGAACACACTCTAACAACCACGATTGGACTCGCAGATGAGGAGGAACGCTAAGGAGGACCAAATCGCAGGCTCACCTTTTGTCAAAGTCTAGTTCAGGCGCCCTTCTCTCCCTCAACAGCGAGCGTGCTTTTCCTTCCATTTCCGGTGACCGTCAAGTCCCTCTCCCCTCCTTCGTAGGCGTTCCTCAACCGACAGGACGGAAGCAGCCAGAGGAGGCGAGGTGAGGAGCACGGCCCGCGCACTGTTGAATCGCAGCTGCTGCTGTGAGCCCTGTGATCAGAACAGGCGAGGGGAGACGCGGTGAGACTGGTCTGAGACCTGGCCAGGGCACGTGGAGCCAACGAATGCCGAACATAAAACAAAACCGGAAGAGAGCACTCAGAATGGCGACCGGATGCGGCAGCGGAGGGAGCACGGTATGGTATCCCTTACGAACGAAAAAAAAATGCGAGAGTGGAACCACTAGAATGAGGTCTGGCCACACGACTAACACACGACGGACACACGACGGACACGCGGCATTGCCAATGAGACTCGCTATCCAGGCCCTCCGTGTTTTGTAGGCTCGGCAAGCATCATACCTGATTATTTGAATCTCCTGAAAGCTCGAATCAGACGAACAGAGCTTGGATAGAGGAATCCTCTAAAGTAGAGTGGATAGTCCTATCATTCCGCCGCAGAGAGACCCATTTCGACGTGATAGGGACGTCGTAACACGCATACGCTGGAAGGAATGCCTAATTCCTTCGGGACTCGTGTACGTCGGCGGTTGCTGAATTTCAGGTGGGTCTTCCTTCCTCGCGCAATAGTATGCACAGGTTCCCAGACACGGTGAGAATACCGACGAGGAGGCGGCGAGCAATAAGATTAGTGTGAGCCTTCGCAAGGCTACTGTGTCGGCGGGACCGTGACGCACGGAGCGGTGAAAGAAGGGACTGGTGCTCGCGAGGATGAGGATTCGGGTTCGGGCCAGTCTCCCGAAAATCGTGCGACTCCTGAAAGGGAATAGATTCTCTCTGAAAATAGCTGGGGATATCCACCCACCACGGTGAGGTGGAACTCTCAAAGTGAATCAGCTAGGGTGAGGGACGAGCTTCGGCTAGGGTCCCTTGAAGTAACCAGAACTTCAGAGGACCTTGGGATAAAGATGGGGTGAGAGCTTGCGGTGAGGGCAGGGGACGCACCTAGGGATGATGGTGAGGTGCTGATGGTTCCCTGGGAAAACTTTGGCACACATATCCTTGCGGTTGTCGTGGCGGACAGAAGCAGCGAACTGCTCTGGTTGGTGCGAATGCGCTGGGGAAAAAAGTGCACTTTGGCCGTCCGCCAATCGTTGTAGCGGAAACCTCCTCGTTCGCCGTCAAGATGTCAGTAAATGACGGGCGAAAACATCGGGTTGGACGGGCAATTGGGTTTCACGGTCAGCCCCTCAGCAAACCCATCAACTCTGGATGGATGACAAGGCAATGCTCCAGTGGACGAAGAGGGCACGGGCAAGATTGGCCCGACATCGTAGGCAGCGGAGCGGTTTATGGAAACGAGGCTACATGTTCGTATCGTTTTCAACATGGATAAATGTGTGGGTTGACACAGGTTGTGGAAACAAATTATGCAAGGAACTAAATTATGACAGTAAGTACATTGCCACCTATTTCACCACTTGATGTGGACAGCCAGATGATACATAGGTAATAATGGCTTGGGTTAACCATCTACAAATCCTTGGAGCCTCTCCCCTTCAGAACAAACTTGCGTAGTCCTGGGATGTGAACGTTGCACATGTAGTTGTGCCAGTTGATATTGCGCACATTGAAGTTGAACTTTTGCTGCTCGTCCAATGACATCCTAGCAAAGAGATCTTCAGTGTTGCTGGAGTCAAACCTGCACGTGCAAGGAGCCACGTTACATCCTCTGCTGGTATGATTTGTGCATGAATGCGATGGAAACAAAGACTCACTGTGCCTCGTAAAAGGTGTATGGTGAGTATATCTTGGCAAAGTGCATGAGTGACTCAATCGTCTTCATCATAATCATAGTCCGACGTGCGGTTGATGCTCCCTTTTTAGGGAAGAGCTTCATCAGCTGCACATGCCACAAAGGCACCGGTAAAAGAAGAAAAAGAACAAAAGAGAAAATGAAAAATGTATTGTTACAAACAAAACAGGGTGCAAAGATTGTTATGAGAGGAAATGGGGAGGCAAATCAAGAGGAACAGCGAGGGGGGGAGAAGCCGGAAAAGAGAGTGAGCCATTACCAGCATGGGGAGCTGGTATCGGATCCAGAGGTCCAGGAGGAACAGCATGGGGAATTTGAAGACCCTAGCCGGAGCGACAGAAATGGGCGAGCCATCCTTCTGCTTCATGGGCTTGGCAGCAAAATGGTCAGTGGCAGCATCGGCAATGGTCTTCACATGCAGAGGGTTAGCCGCTGAGGTTGTCACGTGGTACACACGAGGCAGGCAGTACCCAGAGGCAGACGCAGAGGTGGTGGCGGTGGCGCTGATGGTGGTGCCGTGGGGTGCCTGTGGGGGCAGCTTGGCATTGTCGGCAGCGACGGCCAAGATGGCATTCACGACGAAGTCCACTGGGATCTGAGGGCATGTGTGGAGGAAGAACAACAGGCAGGTGCAGCAATACTCAGATGTGACAGGAACTGTGAGACATGGAAGCAAAGCACATGCATGAGAGGTGGTGAGGAGGAGAGGGAGGAGTGAACCAGCGAGCGAGCGAGCCAGAAAAAGAGTACTCACAATGTCAGCCACTCCATCGGCAAGAAAGCCAGCCATGGCACCCTTGCCATATGCCATGAGGATGGGGTCTGCCATGCTGCCATGTGGTGGGAAGGGCAGGCACGCCAAGCACGCATGGAACAAGTGTGAAGAGGTTGGAAAGCAGAAGAGAAAAATAACACAGGAAACAGGCAGAAAGCCTAGTAAAGGAGGATTGGCGCAAGACACAGCTGTGCATGCACTCACCGCATGCCCTCCATCCACCCTGCCATGGGCTCACACAACGCACTCTCCACTATGCTCGGCCGCACCACCACCACGGGCACCACCCCTGCACCCCCCTCCTCCTCCCCCACCTGCGCTCCCCCGCGCTGCTCCCCCAGTGTCATCTCCCCCATGGCCTTGGACAGCACGTACGCGTCCTGCCACCCAAACACCTGCGCCCTGATGGGGGAAAGAGCAGGCGCACAGAGCAAGGACGAAGAGTCATAAGCGCGAGAGCCACGAAATAAGACCAGCATGAAATTCACGAGCCGCCCCCGTGAATCACGCTCGCCCGGCCTGTGCTGCCCCGTCCTGTGCCGCGCTGGCATGTGCCGGCCTTGCCTGCAGTGCTCATCAGCACCCACCTGGCGCGGCCCAGGGCGGACATGTGTGCATTCACAGCAGCCAGCACCTCGTCCTTGCCCGCACCCCTCGCCACTGCCGCCGCCTCCACTTCCGCGCGCTCCTTATGCGCAAACGCCACCTCCCCGTCCACGTCTAGCGCGGGAATGCCTGCTGCTGCAGCAGCCGCAGCAGAGGCAGCAGGGGAGTGTGCGGCCTGTGCGAGCATCTCCGCTGCGATGGTGTCCCCGGGTGCGAAGGGGCGCTCCATGGCCTGCCCCTTGCGCTTGCCGTTCACGTACGCTGTCATGGCAGGGGAGGGTGATGGATAGAAGACGTGAGGGATGCAGGGAGAGGAGGAGCAGGGGTGGTTGGAGGAGGAAGAGTAGGAGGGGTGCAGCCAAGAGTAGCAGGTGGATAGGCCAGCAGAAGGGAAAGCATGTGTACAATAACCCATGCCTTGCGTGTTGCGGAGGCTCACCAGTGGACACGTGCAGCAGCAGCTGCAGGTGGCGGCACTGCTTGGCGAAGGCCAACAGTCGCCGGGGGCCCAGCGTGTTGATGTTCAGTGCCACGTCGTACCTGCCACACGTGGCACGGCCAGCACCGCACACACAAACACTCGTGTGCTAAGATCATAAGAATAATAGAAATACCTAAGAATCCAATGGAACTCTGAATTTGAGGTTAAATGTGCGTGGGGTCTCGCTCATACCGGGCGTCAAAGTCAGTGGTGGCAGCGGAGTTGATGATGAGATCCACTTTATCCGCCAGAGCAGCACTGGTGACCACGCTGAGACCCAGGTTCTCCTCGCCTATGTTGCCGTCCACCGCCGTCAGCTTGCTGCTCATGAACGCCTCGTAGCCCTCGCCGTACCGCTGCTTCAGATGCCCAAAAATGGCCGATGGAATCACCTGCACACCACCACAAGGGTACACACGCCACACGGGTCAGTTGCGGCACTAACAACAAGGGTAGGCAGAAACGAGCGTCTAGACACAGGTGAGGAGGCGTGCAGTGGAGCATCTAGAACTGCGAGGCGTGTGCAGGGGTGGGGAGGAGCAGCGTGCAGGGCCTGTTGCCGCACCTGGGAGGCGAGGCGCTGGTGCGCGGTGGTGTCCCCCCGCGGCTGGATGAGCAGGTACAGCTGCCCCACGTCTGGCTGCTCTCGCAGTATCTTCTCCACCAGGGCTGAGAGACGGGAGGGGAGGGGAGGGGAGGGGAGGAAGGAGGGGGTGTGGGGGGGTGGGAGGTGAGTGGAGAAGGCGGGAGGGGGAGATGATCTAGCACGAGTGTGTGTATGTGCATGTATGCATGTGTGTGTGTATAGGTTTTTGGATTGAGAGTAGGAGGCGGCAGCACCTTTAGCAAGGAAGCCAGTGGCTCCGGTGATGAGGACGTTCTTTCCCTTGAGGAATGGAATGATGCCCACCCCTTGCTGCTCGCCCCCCACGCCCTGCTGCTGCTGCTTCATCTGCACAGCTGCCGTTGCCGCAGCAGCAGGTGCAGCAGTAGCAGCGCTGCCATCAGCCGCAACAGCAGAGAGAGGGGCAGAAGAAGCCGAGCTGGATGAAGCAGGACCGCGACGCATGCTGCTGCCGCTGATGTTGCTGCTGTGGTCGTTACCATCCAGCCCACCGGTGCGTCCTGCAGCATCGCTGTCACCAGCAGAAGCAGCTTCAAGTTTAGTGAGGGACGACTGCTCGATGACAGAGTTGGGCGCCACAGTGGTTGACTTGCTTGACTTTCCATTGACCAGCGCTGCTTTCACAACAGCAGCAGTGGCTGTAGCAGCGGCGGCAGTGGTTGTAGCAGGGCCCGCCATGCCAGCGGCACCAACGCCGCTGTCAAGGAGGAGGAGAGGCAGCCTGTCGGCGGCTGCAGCAGCGGCGTCCACACGCAGTGCTGCAATCTCGGGCAGGAGTGCCGCTGCGTCCAGCACGGCTGCTGCCAACCCCCGGCTGTCACCATCACTCGCTCCGTCGCTGTTCGCCAGCCGCCCAATCAGCGCGGACCACGCCAGGTCCTCATCCCGCACCAAGTAATCAATACTGCTGGTGATACCAGCGGTGGTAGGAGTCCCAATAGACGAGGAGCTTCCTCGAGAGGTGCGACTCTCTTTCACGACCTTCTTGCGATAAGCACTGGAAACCGCGTCTTCGACTTGGCTGTCCATGGGCGCAGCAGCAGGCGTGGCCGCGCTGTGCGGCGTGGTGCTGCTGCTAGCTGGGAAGTGCACCCCCTGGTGGTGGTCGCGGTGGTGCCCTTGGTTCGTTGAGAAGAACTCCCGTGCGGCCCGCTTCAGGCTGTCGCTCGCTCCACCGCTTCCGCCTCCACCTCCCACCGGCCCTCCTGGCGGCGGGGATGGCGCCGCCTCGCAGCGAGTAGGCCCAAGTCGCAGGCCGCCGCGATTCATGCTGGAAATTGACGAAGCAAGAGTAGTATTGCTTCCGAAACGGGTGACTGCTGCTGCGTTGTGCCTTGCTGTCAGTACGGATGACGAGATTCGGACATGCGGTTTCCGTAGCGCGAGATCACTTTTCGGAACACGCGGGGTTGTCGCGGGGAGGGAAGGGGACGAGATGGAGGCCGCACAGGAGCTGGAAGCCATGGAGTCTCAATGTAAAATATTATCAAGCAATTGAGTGCGCGGGATGAAGAGAGGAAAGATACCACGAGCAAAGCTTCAATCTGTGAGTGGAACAAATCGAGTGGGCCGTTAAGTGCCCCTCGTGCAAGTGCTACAAGAACTGCTTGAAGTAGTAGTAGTAATTTGCCGAGGAGGCACAAGATATGGCGGATGGGAAAGTGTGTTGGAAGAGGGACAATTTATGGGGGGGTGGGTTGAGTCGGGAATGATTTGACTGGGCTGATCACAATGTTGGGGGGGCCATCCCAATGCGCGATTCGAGCCGCGGCGTGAGAGCGACTGGGTTTCCTTTTGCTAGACGGCGAGGTTCGTCACGATCAAGCGACGTTCCAGCGAATTCTGCGAAAGCTATTCCAGACTGGAAACGAAACCAAACTGATAGATTCGTTTCGAGGCTGCCCGAGCGAGTCAACGACATTTCGCTGACTGGAACAAACAAAGTGCCTCCAATCGGCGGAAGGCTAACGGAGTTCACGATGACAGCAAAACGCACGTGATGTTTTCTTCATCGGGGCACGGGGTTGTGCGAGAATTTCGTTTGTGTAGCACTGTACACAAAAGGAATGGTAGGCATGACAAGTCAAACGAGCCAATCACACCACGGACCTGTAAATTTGACGTGACGTTCAGCACTTCGAAAAACAACGCCCCACACGCGATATCGTACGGTCCAAGTTGGACAGTCCACTCCAGTGGGGTGATGTGACGGCAATCTATCGCTGTGTTACACATGATGCCCGGTTGAGCCCCCCGACCTCGGCCTTCCCTATGGGTCTATAAGTGATTCATGCATTTCGTGGAGGTTTCGTCAATTCGCATCGGGCAAAAAGGGCTTATAAAAAACTTTTGTAACTCACCGTTGACTCTTTGACTGCAGTCTTATGAGTCAGACTTTCGTTCCTGGCTTTCCTATTGGTCGACGTGCTTGTACCGTAGGTGCAACTTCGCGGCAGGAAACCCACGGGTGCAAGGTTTCTGGAATGTGCAAGGCAATTTCGCGTGCAGGGGTTGGGCATCACCTGGAATGTACAAGGTTTCTGGAATGTACTGCGCAAGTTCCATCGTTTTAGATGTTCACCCCTATACAATCAAGAGTAAAAGCACATACACACCACATTCTCATTCAAAAGCATAACGCACAAAAACATCCACAAAAAGATACACTGCAGGTTAAGTACATATGAACAATGAATGGGATGGAAATTTGGACCTACAGTCGATCGGAGAGGTGTAAATGGTGGGTGTGATTTGGCAGTGAGAGACAAGGCTGATGGGAAGGTGGTGCGGGAGTGGAGAGCGCAGGCGGTTGTAGCGCGGAAGGTGGAAAATGGGTGAAGAGGTAGCGGATGTGACGGTGGCGAATGGAATGGTGGAAGGCGAATGGAATGGTGGAAGGCGATGGTGCCGGGCGGAAGAGATGTCAACCTGTACATCCATGCGTGAAACCTCTTCGTATACTGCATCACTTGCAACCTCCATGGGCACATAAAGCCCAAATGACACGTGGTGCTTCAAACAGGCAGGTGGGTCAGACGAGGGCATGGCAGGATGCATCACTGGTTGGCTCTGTTCTTGATAACCACGAGCACCACCACCACCACCAGGCTCACCACCACAGTCATGAGCCCCGCAAGACCAGACGCACTGCTGCCACCAGATGCACCCGTGGCGCTCCCACCACCAGCACCAGCATCCGCAACCCCTCCCGTACTGCCTGCTGCAGAAGAGGATGAGAGCGATGCAGGCAGGAAGGCGGTCCCAAGGAGGTCTGAGATCGCATCAACCACAGAGCGCATCTTACCCAGCGCGAACGACAAGTACTCCCACAGGGAACCGGTGTTACCTCCACGCGCATCAATTGCAGACTGCGGAGGCTGGTGCTGCTGTCCGGGTACCGGGTGCTCTGTCACTTCAGTGATGCTGTTGACGCCTGGTTCAAGGGGGGAAAGGACGACGAGCAGGTAAGAAAGGAGGTTAGGTGCCATGGAAGGAGGAAAAAGAAATCTCAGGAAGATAGAACAGAAGCACCAAAAATGTAGAGAGGGAGAAGCAACCCCAGGAGGGGTGAAAGGGGAGGTGGGAGGGGGAGAAGGAAGGTGGAAGATGGGCGAGCGGGGGTTGGGGAGAAAGGCGATGGGGAAACAGCACAGTGTCTGGTGTACACTCAGTACGAGGCATGCGGGTATGCAGGCATGCTCACCAGGCATGTGCACGCCGCCTCGGCTGCAGATGAACTCCTGCATCACGGGGTCGTTCACTATCGCCATGAACACCCCCGGACTCGACGCCAGACTGCGCACCGTCTGCGCCACACGTGCACGGCGCAGGTGCGGGACGCCAGCCAAGGGGGCGAAGACAATGAAGCAGGGCGGGAGAAGGGACGGGAGAAGAGCGACGGGAAGAAAGGAGAAACGAGGCGGGGGTGGGATTGGGAAGGGGTAAGAGACAGCGTGAAGTAGGCTACGAAGGAGAAACGAAAGATGATGGTCTAGACTGCTGCCCGACGGAAGAGCGCCGGCGCAGGCACTCGGCGCCGTGGCGAGAACGGCGCATGAGGGCCATGGGACAACGAGAGCTTAGCCACTTACCGCCACGGCCTCCCGATCCGCCTCCACTTGCGCGAGCAGCATGGCGATGGGGTTCTGCTGGTACTGCTGGATCTGCTGCTGGTATTGCTGCTGGTACTGCTGCTGGTGCGCGTGGTTTCCCCCGCGCTGCTGCATGCGCGCCGTCACTCCCTGCGTCACAGCAAGAGCCCCTCCCGCAATGTGCTGCCACGCCGCGTCGGAAGCCGACGCGTGCGCCACCTGCAGCGCGCGCTCCGACGCCGCCATGGACGCAGCGGCGTCGTCGCCCATACTGTCCCACGCGGTCGCGCTCTTACTCCCCCACTCGCTCCCCCAATCGCTCTCCCATGTGCTCTCCGCCATGCTCTCCTCCTCCCTTGCACGACTCGCGGAAGCACCCGCTATACCAGCGGTAAGACTAGCGCGCGCGGCACCAGCGGCAGCAGCGGGGCTGGCAAGCGCAGAGTGAGACGGGCGAGGCGGCGCCATCATGGTGGAAACCACCTCCGCCCACGCGGCGTCCGTCTCTTCCCTGCTGGGAGGCGCAAGGGAAATCACGCGCGCGCTCGCCCGCTGCCTCGCCGCTCGCGCTGACCCCGCGACGGAGGCGCTGGCGGATTCCGCGGGTTGCGGAAAAGCGGGGAGAGTGGGGGAAGCGGGTTTCGGGATTTCCTCCCAGCTGCCGTCGAGCGGACGGAGGGAGCCATTGTAGCCGAACGGAACAGATGCGTCGCTCTGATTACACAGTTATGGTGAACGGGAGGACGCAGGGGGGAAAAGAAATGCTTCAATGCAAGCTTCGCGCCGTTGCAGAATCATGGATTGGGAAAGGGAATAAGAGACATGACAAAATCTCTGATAACGCATTTCTGGATAATGCAATAACATAGATTCGGCGATGACAAAAAGCCATGACAAGAAAAAAAAGGATGTAGTGCAAAAGCAAGAAAGCGATAACACGAGCTCGTGCCTGTAGTGCTGGCTCTGCAAATGCGGTGCTCAGCCCCACGCCCGACGCGGAAGCAGCGGCGGTGGTCGCGGCAGCGGAGGCCGTGGCCTTGGTGGCAACACGTGTGGCGGTCCGGAACATGGCTGCAAACGGATGAGCACCAACCAACCCACACAGACAGATCTCAGTTGGGCAATGGATTATGCACGCACACTAGGCCAAACCAAGCAAGCAACCAACCAAGCTCGACGCGACAACGCATCACGCATGGGTTTCCGTGCACTGGCACGGCAAGGCGAACAGTAGAAGCACAAGATGGGAAGGAAGTTGTGGAAACCGTGAAAATGACCTAGCTCAAACCTTTCAACCAACGATAACCGATTAATTAAAAAATTTAAACCGAAACCAGACCAACAGCCTGCACACGCAGCTCGCTCGAACGAGCAGGCGCAACCACCAATGAATAGAAAGAATCCATGTCACCATGCACGCCTTTCTGTGCTGCGCAGCCAATGGGGTGACATACCCACCTAGGAAGAAGGCATACTCGCCAGGAAACATGTGCGTCACCATTATTATGTTCCTTGATGGTTCATGACTCATAGGAGATTACATTGTGACGGTAAATATTACAAATTGGCCTTATAAAATCTGATTTTCAATGTTACATTTTATTAAAAAAGGTTCTTTTATTTCATTCATTGTGGGTTTTATATTGCTGTCATTGGTCTATTCAGAATGTGAAAGATGCATATACTAATACCAGTGTGCATCACCAGATGTGACATATTGTAAGTAATTTTTTCGATATTCCTTAGCGCACCCTGCAACATCGCGCACAGCAGCAGCCGTTGTTCGCCCGTTACTGCTAACGGGGCTTCGCCGACTTCGCGCGCACCGTTTCACCAAACCTCGCACTGCTGGCCTGGCCGTGTCGGCCTACGCTTCGGAACAAGCCCGAGCCTCGCTTCCAGCATAGCACTAGCTAGCTCGCACGCACCGCGTTACCGTTTGCATGTTTCGCGCATAAATGTTCGCTCATGCCTTCGCTCACATTTTGTACTCGTTTGACACCTTAGTGCAATTCTCGCTACTTCGATTCATTGCACCCGTAACACTTGGTATTCAGAGCCTATTTCATTTTCGGGCCGCGCATCTCCGCACCCCAGGAAATCAACTTTTGATTTTTCACTCGAAGGGACTCACGCACCTTAGCACCTAGGAGCCGCTGTCCTCGCGTTCTCTCGTAA